GGAAGATAGAAAGGAGCGATCCAGAACAATACTTAAAGGCTGTCACAAGTCAGAGTACCCAGAGGGAAAGCACTTTCTCAAAAGTCCCAAATGTAGAGGTTAATCCCTCCCCCCATTTAACTCGCAGGGCATTTTCAACCACTATCTTTCAAAATAAAAGCACACACACGAGCCTATTTTAATGGCCTGGTAGGAAAAAATCGTAAATACCTAATTTTAAATTAAACTTCAAAGGAATCTGAGCTTGGATAAAAAGACCAAATCCTCATTTTTACCAGTATTTATTTCTCAATCCCTGATTTTCTAGTGCTACCATCAAAATTTTTGCTAAATCTACACATCACCTGCACAATTATTTAATAGTTTTCTTCAAAAAGAAAATCAATGCATGTATTTAATTAAATAACTTCAGCCTCAACTTAAATAATAATATTGATGTAGTCATAGGTTTGAAGCTAACTATATTTTTTCCATGAGTTGTGTTAAAATCAATGTACAACCGTCAAAATATTTGCCTGTGGTACCACTTCAGAAAAAAGAAATCACCTCACATACTGTAGTGATACATATCCCAGACTCTGAGATAAACTTATTTCGCATTATCAAAAACTTATACATGCCAAAGAAGAGAACCAAATCCGATTCTTATTTTCTTCAGCCCTGACAACTGTTTTCAGATCTTTCAGAGCATTCTGATGCTCTTTACCAACTGTCTGTTCCATAGTCCAACAGAGCTCCTTACTAACGTCTTTACAATTAAGCACCAGATAAAAGTTCCAGTTCTCACTTGCCTCAATGATTTTCAAATCTGTGCTGTTGAATTCCAAGAGCTTCTCTGTCTAACCATGACTTTGGGGCTACTACAGTGTGAATATTCAATGTATTCCCTGTCAACCGACCTGAACTTCACTGCTCCCAAAAACACATAGAGCTTCCTCACCAACAAGCAAGCTAAACCACGTTTTTCTTGATCCACCTATGAAACAATCCAGCTGATGTTGGCCAGAAGAAAGTATTTATGCTCCTTACCCGGAGTGATTTCTGATAATACTACCCTACCATATACACGTGGTCATGATGTATGTTTCTTTCCTAGGACTATATCCTATACTAATATAAATTTTAACTAAAAAGCATTTCTTTGTCCTGTATAATAGACCCTGCATTATTAGGTACTAGTTTGGTAGCCAACTTTAATATGCAATATCTGAAAATTACTCATGCCACCCCAATTTCCACTAATTTAATAAAATGGTAGAAAACTAATCAGTTTATAGACCACAACAGTTAAACCATTCAAGGCTGGTATAATGAGAAGGAAAAGGAACTAACATTTCAGTATTTCCCGTGAGTACCCAGCATTCCCCATTTTCCACATGCAGTAAGTAACTTGCTCAAGGAAACTGTTTAGTTAATGGAAGAACAGTGAACTGGACCCAAGTATGCCAGACTCCAAAGCCACTATACCCACTATGTCATGACACTGGATTCCCCTACAATTTCAACCCCTAAACAATCACTATTTCCCAAAGGAAACTGGAACATCAAGATGTCTACTGCCAGTACAGTAAGATACAGACAAAAAACAAACTGTGCTTCCCATGTAACAACCCAGAACGCTAGGCAATGAGGGTAGTAACGAGTCTACACGGGGCCAAAAGGGCTTGTTCACATCCATTTCTAGACTAATCCAACCGTATGGGTCACAGACACAAGTCTACCTGGCAGGCATGATTCAAGAGCTTCAGAGAAATGAGAGCTATCACAATTGACATTCCTGAGGAAGGATTTGCTGCTGCTTGGTTTATAAAATGGCACAGGGTTCAATCTCAAAGGGATTTGCCTCACCCCCTTGCAGCTGAAAGATGAGTAAGACAGTAAACTGGTAACTAGAAAATGAGGTAAAGGATTTGGACTGGCTTACAGATTTCAAACCAGGCAATGGGATGGGGAGGTAGGCCAGTAAAAACATAATGGCTTACAATCAGAGCTTTCGGTCTTTTCCATCTGGAAGGCAATAGTTTGGCAAATGAATCAAAAGCCCCAAAGGAAAATATTTCAGCTTTTTTCTTGTCCCTCTAACTCCACGCCTGTCTCTTCTATCCACCCTGCTCCCAAGGAAAGAAAGCTCTGATGCTCCACTTTCCCTAGCAGTAGACCAACATGATGCTACGTCCACTGCTACTAGTATCGCTCAACCACGAAGATGAGAGATGTTTCGACATCAATCGATACAGAGTAAAAAACCTTTCATCTCTAGACTTCATTTAAGTTCTAGTACATGCCCAACCACCTAGTTTTGCTCCTACAAAAGGCACTTGTCTGCAAAGATAAATATGAGATCAAAAATCACAGTTCAGACTAGCCAATAGGCAGAGTGTACGCTACGATCTTAGTTAAACTGGGCTGCTGCATCTTCAACAATTGTTAAGAGTGACACCCCCATTTCTATATTTTTTAAGACACAAAATAACAAGATAATTCTCTTCAGAAAAGAAATAATACAAAAAAAAAAAGAATTTTTAAATGCCAATGTTTTACTTAAAGTTAGCTATCTCAGTTATTTAAGAGATAAACAATGGTGGGACTGCTGATGAGTTTTACAGGTTCAAGTTCTCACATGCTCAATTTTCTTTTAAAAGGCAACATGTTTCTTCAAAGAAAGTCCCACTTGATCAGGGGACACCAACTCTGCAGCTGTTTCCACTAAAGATTGGCACCTCTAGGCCAGGCTTAAACTTTAGAACAATAAAACTTGAAAGGTTTTGTCTTATAATAAAAACAAACCAACACGGATAAGAGAAGAGTTTTCTCTGACTTTGGTCACTTTTTTCTGTTGCTGCACGACAAGCTCCCTTAGAGGAAAAAAGCCAAAGGAAAAAGTACAAAGCATTTTTCACCTTCCCTGGAAGCAAATATTTAACTATGAATACAGTTTATATAACTTTGCCTCCCCCCACTCAAGCTATTACTGTTCTTTTGGTCCATGCTGTCTGGAATGACAAATAACACTAAAGTAAAGAAATACCTGATTATAGGTACACATCTTCCTCACGGCAAAGTCCAGATATGGAGGAAGTAGGGGGGCAAGGCAAACACACACACACGGAGGAGCCTTATGGAATTGACATTAGGCAAGGAGCCCACGCTCTGAAACCATTTCTTTGGAGAGGAAAAAGAATTGGCACAAATTCTTTCAAAAAGAAATTACTCCAAATCAATCTAACCCTGCTCTTTAATGCATGCTTAGTGCCCAAAAGGACATCATAAAACTGGCTAGTAGATAAATACACATTTTTAGGAAAAGAGCAACTCCCTAACAGTTCATCTGATACTATTTCAATAACAAAACAACAGAACTCACTCCCACTAACTACATATAAAATATTGTCTTATCTTATGCCTAACTGGATTTTAAAAGTTTAAAAGAATAACAACAGTATGCCACTGTACACCTTAAGCCACACTTTATGTAAGAAAGAAAGGGTAATATATGTTGACAGCTATTACTGTTTCATGTGGACAATTTCCAGTTAGTCAATGCAACTTCATTTAGAAAAATCTTTGCACTGACCATGCCACATATCATAAAGCTTTACTTCACTGAAAACAATTAGGAAGCAAACATAATCAGCAAGAATTAACAAGCAGGCTACATAAACTGATTGCAGTCTTGGGGTAGAAATGTACTTTGGATGCTAAGCTCCTAAAAAGAACAAGTCAGTGCAATACATGTTCCTGCGAAATCAACTTTGTGAAAGTTGCAGTTGCCAATTACCTTTCAATTAAGAAGGAATAACTCGATGTTTGGAGAGGCACAGAAAAAACAAATCCTCAGAAATTCTCTTCTCTTAGAAAACATTTCTACAAAATCTCAGAGGGGCAAAAAACACAAAAAAACAAAAAAACAAAAAACCAAACCACAGACCCATCTTATTGGTCTATTTAGTATGTCATTTATGTGATGATTAAGATCTCATCCCACCTTACATTTAACACTTTAAACCAAGCTCCTAAATTCATAAGCTTAAAGTTGATCTGCATCTAAAAATTAAAATTGTGAAGCAACTTCATCTTAATTTGTATAACTTAAATCAAGGTGTATGAGCAAAAACTATACCATGTTCAATTGGCAGTTTGTAAATATGAGAAGCTACAAGAATTACAAGCAAGTTTTTAAGATCCTAGAAGCCCTATGCCAAAGAACTTTATTCTTAAATGCCTGTAAGAAAAGATACAGCTTCCAAAAACTAAGGAACTTTCTCTGCTGCTATGTGGAATGGCAAGAACACTGCTTCCAGCCCCTGCTCCACTCCTTACCAGCTAGCTCTTCCACCTCAGGTCAATGGTTTAACCCCAGCTGGCCTCCATGTGCTCACCTGGAGAGTGAAAACAACCTTATGGGGTTGCTATAAAAGGAAAATGTAAGGTATCTAGCAGGGTCTGACACAATTCAGTAAGTGGCAATTTAGTTCTGCTACCTCTCTAATAAAACCCAAAAGACGTCAAATGTGTAATCATCATGGTTAATCCTTTATTAATATACAACTCATTGGTTTGCTTAGGATCCCACTGTGGGCAAGCCCTAGATGAAAATCACACAGCTAAAAATC